CCCGGCCCCCCCGCCCCCCGCCCCGAGCAGGGGGCTGCGCGCGCGCGCGCTCGGGCCCTAGAGCTGCAAGATCCTCCGCCCGGGCCTTGCCACGCTCCCAACCCGTGCAGGCCGGGGCGCGCCGGGGAGGATGCGGCGGCGGTGCGGCCCCCGCGACGTGGCACGTACCTTGGAAGCGATGACCCAGATACCGGTAGCGGTGGATGAGCCAGGGGTAGAAGGTGGACGGGTCGCGCTGCTGCGAGGCGAAGAGGGGGTGTGGCGAGTGCGAGGAGGGCAGGGGGTGGGCGGCCAGGGCGTGCGGCGGCGGCACCGGGTGCACGGGCACGGCGGGGTTGGGCGGGTGCGAGACCGCCTCGGCGAACACCAAGTCCGGGTTGGAGTAGACGCCCCTGCCCGCGGCGGCGGCGGCGGCGGCGGCCGAGTGGAAGCCGTTGAGGAACGGATTTATGGGGCTGGAGTTGGCGTAGCTGAGCGCCGCGGGACGGATGGGGTCCTCGGAGCGCGAGGCGGGCAGGGGACTGTCCTTGGCCACCAGCGATTCGATGGTGAAGCAGCGCTTGGGCGCCGGCTGGAACATGCTGCGCCCCGGAGCGGGCGCCCTGGGCTCCCGGCTCCCGGCGACCGCGGCGCGCTGCCTTCGCCGCCCGCTGCCCGCGGCGAGGACCGACGAGAATTGGGGGCTCTTGTGTGGGGGGGTGGGGTGGGGGGAGGACAGGAAGAAAGGAAGGAGAGGAAAGAGGAAAGGAGGGGGGAGGGGGAAGAAAGGCAAAGCCGAAGATCCCGGGAATCTTGCACCAAACTCGCCCAATCTGGAGAGAGGGGAGAAAAAAAATCCTTCCAGAAGAATTTGCAGGCGTGGATTGGGGGAATATTTTTTTTTTTTGGCGAGATGGCGTGGAGTGTTGGAAGGGGGGTTGGAGGCAGAGGTGGGGAGGAGGGGGGGAAAGTTTCTCGGGGGAGGCAAAAAAAAAGTTTTCTCTCCTCTGCAAAAGGCGGGCAGGGCGCCCTAAGTCCAAGGACAATCCATGGAAGTGTTCGCTTCTTCACAAGTTGTGCAAACGATTTGTTAGTTCATGAGCCTAATTAGTGCGGGGATCACATAAACAGCTTCCTCCGAAGCCTGGTAAATGGCTTGATGATTGGTCGCTATTACTCGCCCTGAGGTGGAAGGGGGGGAGACTCTTTAAAGTGCGTCAGAGGGAGGCGAGCGCCTGGGAACCCGGAGGCCTGGATCCGGGCCGAGAGTGGAACGGAGTCGGCGCCGCT